GGCCAGTATCTAGGCTCCCTGTTTTTAACAAAGCTCAGGAGAGTGGAGAGGACTTAGAGGGATGTGGACTTAAAAGAGAAAGCAAAGGGAGGCAAGTAGTAGTGGAGTGAAGTCTGTCTGTATTTAAGGTGAAATGGAAGAATCTTCCCAAGGCTAGGACAAGGCAGTATGCACAAGCGTCTTACATTTCTTAATCTGTCCAGAAAATGTGTCCCATGACTCTACATAGGAAAGAATACTTCTTGGCACTAAGTCAAATTTTTATACATGTCACAAAAATGAAGTGGAATTAGAAAAATAGTAAGGAGACAGCATTCAGACTTTCAAGTTTTCATTGTGAATAAAATCCATAATTAATACTTTTCTAAAAGATGATGTGTTAAAGGAGTAGTTCCTGAAGCATGGCACAAGGAGAAAAAGCTGAGGAGTTGGTTATACACTGAAAAGTCAGAAACCAAAGTCAGAAACTTTAAGTAGTGCCCAAGTTTCTCCCTGTCTCTGTCTTGCTGTCTCTCGCTGTTTCAGTCTCTCTCCTCCCTATGTATGTATGTAAGGGAAAGGAGAGGGGGATGGGGCATAAGTCATGAGCAAGCAAATGACAGTCATACATGTGTGTCTTAGGAAGCCAGAGGCAGCAGATCCCTAATAATTGGAATTACAAGCAGTTTCAGAGAATTGACATGAATCCTGGGAACTGAATTTTGGTTCTCTAGAAGAGCAGCAAGGTAGCTGTTGAGGCATCTCTCCAGCACTCATTATGGTCATTTTTGGACAAAGTGCTTTTGTACATTCTTCTTCCCCATCAGATCCACAATTCCCCTGCTACATCTTTTTATATTAATATATAATTTTGGTTTATTACTGCAGCCTCCCTCCATCCTCCTCCCCCAGACCCTTTTCCACATCCCCCTTCTCATGTTCAATCCCCTTCTCTTCCTTCTCCATCCAAGAAAGGGGAAGACTCCCATGACTGCTTTGGGACAATGATCTTGTACCTTGTAAAGATTTGTCACTTGTATTGGTTTAATAGAACACTGATTGGCCAATATCTAGACAGGAAGTATAGGAATAGAAGAATTCTGGGAAGAGGAAAGGCTCAGTCTACAGTCATCACACAGACACAGAAGATGCAAGGAGAGAATGCCTCACTGATAAAAGGTACCAAGTCACATAGCTAACACCAACAAGAATTATGGGTTAATGTAAGATATAAGAGTTAATAAGCAGCCTGAGCTAATAGGCCAACCAGTTTATAATTATATAAGCCTCTGTGTGTTTCTTTGGGACTGAACAACTATGGGACCAGGTGGGCCAGAAACCTTTGTCAACACATGCGTAGTGATAAAGCATGGCATATCCAGTTGCAAAGACTAAGCACCTCTCCATGAATTAACACTGGGCAAGGTGACCCAGTATTAGGAGTAGGGCCCCAAAAGCCATTAAAAGTATCAAACATGGCCCCTGCTCCTACTGTTAGGAGTCCCACTGGAGGACCAAGTTACACAACTGTAACATATAAGCATCTTACCCACTCCCTGTAACTTTTCATCCTGTTTTCTTTATTCCTCTTTCATGTTCCTTGTGTCTGTTTGCCCACACTGTGCTCTTCCTCATTCCTCAGTACTAATTTTTATTCCCTTTTTTGGTCATCTTTCTATTTTTTTAAGGCTTTGCCCATATTTTACACACACACACACACATACACACACACACACACACACACAAGTTATATAAGGAAGAACATGTGGTTTTAGTCTTTCCAAGTTTCAGTCACATTAGTTAATATTATCATTTCTAGTTCCATTGACTTTTCTGTGAATTTCATAATTCCAGTTTTACTTAAAGTGTAATTAAATTTCCTTGTATATGGCAACCACAATTTTATTATCCATTTGCCTTGATGTACATGTAGACTGGCTCTATTTCCTTAATATTGTGACTAGCTATGTAGAAACCTTTTAATTTCATGCATTCCACTCTTAAAAGATATTGGCCTAATCCTTGTGCTATTGGAGTTAAATTCAGAAATTTCTCTCCTACAGCCATATCTTGAATTGTTTTTCTTATGTTTCTTTCTTGCAAGTTTAGCATTTTAGACTTTAAACTAAGGTCTTTGGTCCACTTTGAGTTGATTTTCTATGGGGTAAAAAAAAAACAGACTTAATTTCATTCATTTGCAGGTGTATGTACAGTTTTGCCAGCACTATTTATTGAATAGGCTAGTTGTTTCCCACTGCATGTTTTTGACACTTTTGTCAATAAGTAGGTGGCCATAGTTGTAATCAGAGGCTGTATATTCATTTCCTGGCCATCCAGACTCTTGAAATAATCACACAGAAATTTGTACTAATTGCAATACTGTTTGGTCAATAGCTTAAGTATATTTCTAGCTAATTCTTACATTTTAAATCAACCCATCTCTATCAATAAAAGCAACACATGTACAGAAGGACTTCCCATATCACATAGCTTTGCCAGTTTTACAGAAGATCCAGAAAATACGTAGGAAGAAACCTAAACAAAGAGGGGAAAGACCTCTACAATGAAAATTTCCAAGTCTTGAAATGAAGTCAAAGAGGATGATAGACGATGAAAAGGCCTTCCATTTCCCTGTGTTGGCAGAATTAATATACTATAAATAGTTGTGTATTTTACAGATTCAATACAATTCCCATCAAAATTCCAATGTTACTCTTTCCAGAATTGGAAAAAAAAAATCAATCTAAGAACTAACATGAAATCACAAAAGACCATGATTAGCTAAAACAATTAGGTTGGCCCATTTTCAAGTCTGTGGGGGCATTTCTTGATTAATGATTGACGTGTGAGGGCCCAGTCCAGTGTGAGTGACGTCATTCCTGGGCTGGAGGTTCTGTTATATAACGCAGCAAGCTGAGCAAACCATGGAAAGCAAACCACTAAACATTAGACCTGTGTGGTCATTGTTTCACTTGCAGTCTCCAGGTCTACTGCCTTGACATTCCTGGATGATGGCTTGTAATCTGTAAGACAAACAGACCGTTGCATCTCTACATAGATTTTGGTCATATGTAGGAAGATAAGGCATACGAGGCTGAGATATGAGCCAACCTGGAATCTGACTGAAGGCTTAACAATATGTGCTGTCAGAGGTCTTGATCATGCCTAGCCAATGAGAGGTGACCATTCAATGTCAGCAGATCAGAGTCTGGGAAGAGGGATATAAGTCTCTCCCCATTGTTGAGTGAACAAGTCTACTTTGCCACTTGCCTGACTCCCGGAGTCTATTCTTCTGACTCCTTGTCCTCTGACCCCATCCCCCAGGAGAGCTTTAAGGACCAAGCAACAGCCATGGTGTTTCATTATATCAGGAGAAACCCCAACTAAGAGAATAGCAAAGACATCCTGGAGCTGGCACATAAACCAATGGAATATACTCCCAGAAATAAACCAATCAATCTATGTCACTTTCTAAAGTTTTACCAAGCACTACATGTGAATGGGTTAATGCTTGTGTAAGGAACACTGAGTAAAGGGAGCAGGAGGCCTGAAATAGATAGACACTGCCTACTGTCAGTAACTTCAACCAGGAAGAACTCATTTTTGCCTAGGTAGGGAGATCAAAGCGGATGCTGGTCTCAAAAATCCCGAGGATGCAATCTGCCACAGTTGTGTCTCTGTCATTTTCCTTACAAGCCTTCACAAACCTGGGAGTCATTTCCAGTACTCTTACCAAAATGTAGAGAGTTACATTACTTCCACCGGCATTCCTTTTTACATTTAATTAGGAGGAGGCTCAGGATTTCAATTTGGCTGTGTGCCTGAAGGCAGAGGAAGCCAGTGTAATCAACTAACCTGTTTGGCTAAGTGTGTACTTACACATCAATTGTTTTTGCTCAGCTTCTCTGTTGAATCATATAGAGCCTTTCAGCCCACAGCTCTATGTACTTGCAAACTTACGTTCTGAAAGATTTGGTATTACGTGATTAAGAAATTAGGATTAATTTTGTCCTGATATTTTGCCAGTTTCTTCTTTAATGTTCAATCTCTCATTCATTCAAGGCAAAGAGTGACCATATGCATTTAAGTAAATTTGATTTGTGGGATATTTTAGGTCTTTGGGAATAAATTATACTTCTTTTTTTTCTTTTAGCACCCTTTACATGCCAACAACATAAAACACAGGCTACACTCCTTTGTATAGCAGGGAAGAAACAATGGGACATTTTGATAAATGCAGTGCTTGTTAGGAATGGTAGAATTGGAAAAGCTACCGATTTCACTGGCAAGTCTCTGACGGACTCTTCAAAGAGCTCTCTTTCTTTAGTTCTGGATTTCTGCCAGAAGACAAAAGGCATGAGCTATTTAGTTTTGGTCTTCGGAGAAAAACAGCTGAACTGGCAGATGATTGAATAATACTTCTTGACCTCTTTGTCATACTGATTTATTTATGTACTTATAGGAGAGGAATGTATATATTGGAATGTCCTATTAAATAAAATTATGCTATCAGCTTAGGCTGTGTGTATGTGTGTGTGTTTATGCCTGTGTACATATTTCTCGGAAGTAGATATCACATGGAAAATTTGTAGGACACTGTGGTTTCATGATAAAAACATTTAAAATAAAATTGTGGGTCTCCAAAAGTAGTATATACATAAAATTGAAATATTAATAATTTGAAATGTGAGTGGTTTTTTGCATTTCTGTACCAATGGATGCAGTCTAAGATATATGAAGTTATTTTTGGTGTCAGCATCATATATATATGTATATATATATATATATATATATATATATATATATATATATTCTTTGTATGTGTCCATGTGTGCATGAGTTTGCACAAGGTACATATGTGCAAACCAGTTTAGAGAATAAAAGAGGACAAACTCAATTTTTATTCCTCAAGGATTCCCTCTTTGTTTTTGAGGCAGGGACACTTATTGGCTGAATTTTCCCATTAGGCCAGTTAGTTTGAGAGGACATTGAACTCAGGTGTTATCCTATCTGTGTCTTCCAGGAATGAGATTACACGTCCAAACTGCTGTGTCTGATTTCTCTCCTTTTCACATCTGTTCCAGGCCCTTGCATTTATAAGGTAAGCATTTAAGCAAACGTGTCATCTCTCCAGTCATTGTGTGTTTGTATGTAGATGTGTGTGTGTGTGTGCGTTTGCAAATGCATATGGAGGCAAGCGGTTGATGAGAGTTTCTCCCTTAGTTGCGTTTATGCCTTACTTTTGACACAGGCTTGTTCACTGAACCTGGAGCTCTCCACCAATGTTGCGCCTTCTGACAGGAGCTCCACAGACCCGCCTGTCTCCACACACCCCTGCACTGAGATGACTGCTACATACGTCCATTTCTGAGGTTTTCTGTGGGTGATGGAGAACTGACCGGGATACTGAACTGTAAGCACTTTCCTCATGTGCATCCCCAGCCATAATAATGTTGTGCATTATTACTGTCCACTCTCTGGGAACCTTGAGTATTTTGTAACTCTGTCTGGACCACTCACTGATGTTCCTCTTGCAGATGATGTTAACTTTAAATTGACATAAACAGTGCTACTAGCCCTTTGAACATATAGCATTCATCCTAAATTAGGGAATATTTGAAGTTTGTTGCTTGAACATTCAAATGTTGACTCATTATAATGAGACATTATAGTGCTGACTGCACTGGGAATTTAAGAAATGTTATATCACCAAGAACAAGGAGAGAATTATTCAAGTGTTATCATACATCACTAAATATCCACCAAATAATTGCAAAATTGTATTATTGATGTTAAATGTTGTATGTGAGTTTCCATTTTGGTTCTCAAGTATAGTCATATATAATAAAAGTTAAAACATAGAATGAATAGCATCTAATGTCTACAGGACAGATTGGACACAGAGAAATTAATCTATGGTTAAATAGAATAACATGTGGGTGACTATCAGTTTAAAGACTGTTTTGGCAGACATAGTTTATTGCTTTCTAAGTACTTTCCTCCCAGTATAAGTTATCAGTAAACATAAGTTTGGACTTTTGAGCTACAATGAGCATATTATATATTTTGAGTAACCCTGATCACTATATGCATACATTTCATCAAATAAAGCAGAGAATGCCTCGAAAATCTTGGTTTGAAGGTAACTGATTGGTAACTTTCCTGAATTTTCTCCTATTTTTCTTGATAAAGTTCATTATGAAAACAGGTTATAGGTCACCTTTGTAGCTTTTACTTTTTCTACAAAAAAGTATTTTGACATTTAAAAGCTTTCTTTGAGACAGGTCTTAGTCCATAGGCCAGAATGTCCTAAAATGTGGGGTGCTGCACAGGAAGGCCTCAGACTTACAGCACTCCTAGCTTTACTTTGGAGTACTGGCATTAAATAAGTATGTCAGTGTATCACTGTATCAGATTAATCTTTTGTCAGTATTCTAGCAGCCACTCACGTTGTTAAATCTATGATGCCTGACCTAATTAATTTCAAATGCATTCAAAACCATAACTGTGACTCCTTTATGAATTTAATTTTGCATTTTTCTATCTAATGATTTTTAAATTTATTATTTTTATTGTTTTTATTAAGATATATATTTTTCTCCACTTTCCTCACTTCTTCTCCCTTCCTCTTCTACCCTCTCCCATGATCCCCACACTCCCAATTTACTCAGGATGTCTTGTCTTTTTCTGTTTCCATGCAGATTAGATCCATGTATGTCTCTCATAGGGTCCTCTTTGTTGTCTAGGTTCTATGGGATTGTGAATTGCAGGCTAGTTTTCCTTTGCTTTATGTCTAGATGCTACTTAAGAGTGAGTACATATATATTATCTTTCTGGGTCTGGGTTACCTTAGTAAATATGATATTTTCTAGATCAATTTATTTGCCTGCAAATTTCGAGATGTCATTTTTTCTGTTGTGTAGTACTCCATTGTGTAACTGCCACATAATTTTGTATTTTTCAATGTCTACCTTAATTTAACATTAATGGCAAAAGATTATATGGTCATTTTCCCTAGTGAGAGGTAAACAATTATGCAGATGGAAGTTTCTGTTGTGCCTGGTCCTGCAGCTGTTTAGTCCCAAAGAAACTTACAGAGACTTATATTAATGTAAAAACTGTTTGGCCTATTAGCTCAGGCTTATTATTAAGTAGCTCCTACAACTTAAAATTAACCCATAATTCTTGTCTATTTTTAGTCATGTGACATAGTACCTTTTCTCAGTGAAGCATTCTCATCTTGCTTCCTCTGTGTTTGGCTAGTGACTGAGTCTCTGCCCTTCTTCTTCCATTCATTCTCTTAGTCTGGTCAGCCAACCTATACTTTCTTCATGGTTACTGGCCAATCAGTGTTTTATTACACTAATATGAGTGACGAAATTTTATAGTGTACAAGAGCATTATTCCACAGCACAACTAGACACTTTTTAAAATAAAGAACCAAAAAAAATTGCATTTACCACACACTCACATTACTCTTACACTGTTCTGATAGAGTAACAAAGCACTGTGTTTTGACTCTTTTACATATGAAGATAATGAATACTATTGATGAATGGATCATAGTATTGTTTTGTGGAAAACAGAGTTTACTGAGCACAGGAAATGAAGAGGAAAAATCCTCTGCAATCTTTGTGATATTTTGTAACACCTTTATCTTTTATATTTCAAACAGTACTCCAATTTTTATTGAACCATTAAATATTTAGAAAGTTTCAACTCTTAAAACATACTCAGTGTTTTAAATGCTATACATGAACATGTATGCATGTGATTACATGTGTGGGAATATGACCGTGTGTGTGTGTGTGTGTGTGTGTGTGTGTGTGTGTGTATGTGTGTGTGTGTGTGTGTGTGTGTGTGTGTGTGTGTGTGTGTATCTGTATTTGATGATGTAGAGCTAATATCACGGGTCTTCCTTTGTGGAACCGCTATTCTCTTTGGTGTTGGAGGTCGGGTCCCTCTGAAGGCAGAGTTTGTTCATTCTGGCTAATCTAGATAGCCAGCTTACCCAAGAAATCTCCTTCCTCTGCACCTCAAGAGTTGGGGTTACAATTGGATGTCATATGTGTCATAGATTTGGGGTTTCTGAACCATGTCCCTGAGCTTGGCATGTACTGAGTCATCACCTTGCCACTGTACTTTAGATTCTTTTTGTTTCAAAAATCAAAATCAAAAACAAAACAAAACACCCCCAACAAGAGAGAATACAAAATCAATAATCCTTACTTTGACAAAGAAAAGCTACATAGAAAAAAATGGGTTCTATATGTAAGGTTTTGTGCTCTTAAGACAGAGAGACCAATGCTTAACCCTTATATTAGTGTAAAGCACTATACCAAATCCCAGACAGTCTACAGTATTGTGAGGCATAGGAGTATTAAAGAGCTGGATCAGAGTTTTCTGTGCTTCTAAAAACTTATGTTATTGAGGGATACTTAAATTTCACTTTCATAATATTTTCAGTTTCCTTAAAGTTACTTTTAAATCAAACTACAGGCAAAACACACACACACACACACACACATACACACATATATGACTATATATATGTAATATATGTAATTTTGGAATTTATAGATTCATCCTAAGTGAATTTATGGGAGTTAAGTCCTCATGAACACATATTTGACCCTTTAAACTTTCCAGTATGAACACCAGTTAGCTAAAAACCAGTTCGTTTTTCCACTAGGGCTTACAAAACATCAAGTCTGGGGCAAACATGTGAAGTCATCTTGGTCGTTTAAAATATCTAGGAATACAAAATGTACTAGGTTTGACTGTGCTCATTAATGGGCATATTTAGGTGATTTTTTTGAACAAATTCATTCATAAAGAATTAAGGGATTATTTGTCATATCCAACCAAAGTCTACCTCATGATAGAGAAGCAAGTGGAGATACTGATCATGAAGTTAATTTGAAAGTTTCACCGCTTTGTAGTTACCAGATTGGGGCATCACAATGCCATGCATAAAAGTTCAAAGAAGGTAACTGGCAGTGAAGCCAGGAGAGAAAATACTTTATCTTCATTGTGTCACATGGGGCATTTTGAAAAACAAAATCTACCAATCAACAGATGCTCTGTGCAGTAATAAGCTTCATTGGCACAAGTAATTTTTTCCAACAGATTTGTCTCATTAATTAAAAAAAAAAAGAAGGAGAAAAAAATTCTGTGAACTACCAGATAGGTAAGTATAAAAACCCCTTTCTTCCATAGTCACATTAGAAGTCTACTCTGCAGCCTGCCTGCTTTCTGAGAGCAGTTATTTATATTATAATTATCTGACAACTCCTTCTGGAGATAACCGAGCTGAGTTAATTTAGTCTTTTATTAGCTTGCTTTACTTTCTGCCTGCTAAACCTTCCAACAGAATCTTTTCAAGTTGTGCCACTAAGGCCTTTCAAACAGAAAGTTATTTTAAAAGCCAGTAAAATATAAACAAAGCCACGAACACTTTGCCGCTTGGATTGTTGCCATCATTTTTCTAGAATGAAGCAGATAGCAGGTAGTGCTGGGTCTTTGAGCACGTTCTAAAATTATACATATTTTTAGTTCTTGGGCATATGTGGTGAGAACAGGGAGAAGTATGTACTTAGCCATTTCTTTGGCATATTTGCCTTGTTATAATCAAGTTTATTCCCATTCAGATATACACCCAACACAATTTTAAGGATACATATAATAAAAATGGCCAGTTTACTTCCCCCCATTTATGCAAGAGCTAATCAAGTGTACTATGATTATGTCTTCATAGATAAAACTCCATATTTCAGTTTTTGGAAAAAATTAAACCCTTGCTTATATCACATTTCTTGTCCTTTTGAAAAGAAAACTAAATAAGATTATTCACAACTATTGTATGCAAAGATGTTGTGAGATGAGTGCTTGGGTAATCCAATGGTCGACCAGTTATTGCCGGAGTAATCCCTATGAATACCAGCATTTCTTAAGAGTTTGGGTTATGGATGTAGTTAGAGGCTATTGACAAGATGTCAGGGTTTAGTGATAAAAAACAACAACAATAAAACTGATTTTTCTCCACAGAACAGCTCTCTCTCTCTAGCATTTCAGAAACTGTAAACCATTTCCTAAGACCCACATTACAGAACATGAGACAAGAGAAAGCCACTTGGGTTGCCAGGAAATTAAAACCCTATCAAACACAAGACAAAAAAGTATTTAGTCGCATTTGTATGAATATCTGCATAGATATGTACTATTCTGTCACTAATTACATTTATTAAGAAATTATTTTCTTTTGCTAGAATAGATTAGAAAGGGCTCATCAATTTTTAAAATGATATAGAAGAAAAATGCTTACAGACATACATGGAATAGTAAATACTGAAGGAAAGATAACTGCCAGACAGTTGGCTTTTTGGCAGTCTCTAATTTTTACATTATATAATTCAAAACTACTTGTGGCAAAGTGTGGCACTCAGAGAAGAGACAGTGCAGATTACCCACGGTTTCGTTTTTCTTTAGCCATGTTTCAGTGTCGCTATCCCTTCACTATCACAATTTTGTGTACATTAGCTGCTGCTGACAGTTCTAAGTAAATTAGCTTCTAAAATAAAACAAAATTTTATGACATTTGAATGGCTTTTCTCGTTGCTAAAGCAATAAGTTTCCCTGACACAAATCTGAGTGTAACATATGGTCTCAGCCTTAGGCCAGGGTGTTCCGTTTGAATTATTCCAGGCTTCGCCTCACAGCGCTGTGCTTCAAACATGAATCCAATTACCAACTGCAGTCAGGCAATTGAAAGGCTGTAGGAGCAATACTCTAATAGATGGGGAGGGGAGCAAAGGACTATGATTTGTGTGGTAATCAGCAAGAGAAGGTCAATTGTAATAGAATAGACTGGTTTCCAAGACAGAGCTAATGTAGGAGGCCTTCCACTCCATGGAAGGATGCTATCAATAGATTTGTTGTTTTCATTACCAAGAATGTCACTTACTGACAAGATGAATAAAGGAAGTGTGAGTAGGCCTGTTGATGGATCAGGTGATTAAAAGCAAGGTTGTGGTGAACAATTAGCAAACCAGTGACCTATTGGAGGACTGGGGATGTAGGGTGAAGTGGAAGATGCTATGCAAATGTTGACCTAAATAAAATAGATTTTTGCTTTCTTTTTTTTTTTCTATGATGATGGTTAGACTGTAGAATTCTAGGGAGGCTGAATAGATATGCGTCTCCCCAATAGACAACACTTCTTTTAATTATTGGCTTTCCTACAACTAGGGAAGAAGAAATAGAATGGTGGAAACTGTTGCAAAGAGAGAAATCTGTAAGCTCCAGTGGAAAATAATATTTTTCATTTCCAATATCTCTATTTTTTCTACAAGTCCCGCAAGTCAATTACACAGCCAGACAAATTGTATGAATTATAATAAAAGCAAAAACAAATTGTCTTATGAATCTAATAAGCCAAAATGCTTTTACCAGAAATATCAAACCTCTTCTTTATAAAGATAAATCCTAGACTTCAGAATCCATTATTTGGGGCTAATCATATTCTAGCTCCTGCTTCATGTCTTTGGCTTTTAGGTGATAACCTATTAGCCTACTACAGATATACTTCTTTTCAGCTTACTCAAGTGCTCCATTCCTTCCACACCTTAATCAATAAAAATACAAAGGTGTATTTGCTTCATCTTGTCAGGATACCAATATGCCACACTGTCAACTCCTCTGTATACACCACTATAAACAGCTTAAATCCTTACATTTTATATATACTGTTGTACAATTAATAAAGCTTACTTTATAAAATATTAAATAAA